TACAAAGTGGATAGCGCAGGCAATTTAACAAAAACAACTTGTCCATTGGCAAGGAGGCAGTTTTCGAAAAGCTTGGATGTTTGATCAGCCTGGATGTGCTGCGCTGTGATGCCATGGGGTGTCACGTGCTGTCATGAAACCATGAAATCGCTGTCCAGGATTTTGCACATCATTCATGATACACTTTGGCCTTTACCAGGCTCACAGCCCGTTGGTTCAATGATTCCAAGCAAGCCTATTCCTTTTGTGTGCCAAGAAGCAGTGGCGACTGCTCCAGCCAAGCGTTCGTAGCAGGAAGGGCTTAGTTTGGAGATGCAATTTTTAGGGTAGCCCATGGTGCAAACGGGCTTCTGATCGGCGAAGCTTGGGTGTCTGCCGGCACATTTCCCACAAACACGCGACCCAAGCGTGCTTCATTTGGCTGGGCGAGAACGGCTAGCCTGCAGCGAGTGGCGCAACTTGCTGTTACACAGGAATGGTTCCAACCTCGATGTTCATAGTAAGGCTGCCAAAGGAAACTATTGTTTTGATCCACAAAACCTGAAGGGCGACGGGCAATGCTGCGCCTGCTTGCGCCACTACCAACTGGGACGTTTCACAGTGCCTGTGCTCCATGGCCTTGCAGATTGAAGGCCCAAAAGCCTGGCTCAAAGCATCATAGCCGTTGGCTCTTGAACATTAAAAAATGTCGGCCTTGCTTTCCACTCGCTGGGGAGTCTCCATGCGCTAGCCCACAGGGTAGGGCAGGAGTGGCCACCAAGGACATGATCAGAGGCCTCAAGTTGCCAAAAGCAGTCCTTGACATCCCTGGGCTGCAGCCTCTCACACGCATGGGGCATTCGTTTTGAAAAGCGGGCAAGCCCAGGCCCGCTAAAAAGAAAAGGCGCGCGAGAAAGGCCCCTGATTATGACTATGGCCGCAACATGTGGATCAATGCAGGGCCTTTCTTTCGGCCAGGCCAAAGGCAAAACCCTAGATACCCACCAAACCCCCCAACCAATGGAACACAGAATTAATATTGCCTTGCTGTTTCCGTTGGCACAGAGTGGGAGGTTCATTCTTGACGATTCAACGGTGCCTCGGAGCCACTGAGCAGCTTCCAGACCAGCATGGTGATGACATATCTTTGGCGTATTTTGGTGTTTGGCCCTTGCCATTAGTTGACGCGGTAGGAGCAGCGTGCCGAGCACGAAGCCAAGTTGCAGGCTGGCACCGGTAACATATGCCTGTGCATGACGTATAGTCAACGGTTTGCTACCCCGACACTTGGTATTGCGACGCAATGTGTGTGTGTGTGTGTCTGGGTGGGCCTGTTGCGGAATCAGTCCATGCTACTTTTGCCACCACATACATGAACAGTCGCCGGCCGTTGCCATGGGACATGAGATTCCGCACGCTGAATCATGTCCGATTTTTTGATGCAGTAGCTGTAAGGGCGAATGAGGGAAGCTAAAGATCAATTAATTTGATTGTGCTTTGAAGGAGCTGGACAAGCAGCAGCAGCAGCAGCAGCAGCAGCAGCAGCGCAATGGCAGTCGAGAGGCTGGGGCTGGCGTTGCGTGACCTGCGCTGTCACAGAACTGAATAGTTTGTTTATCAGTTTTTACGCTTGCAGGGCCACATGATGCTCAGTAGGGTCGTTAGGATGTCGACTCCAAAGCAGCGCCTGTCAGGAAGACCAGACTTCCGACAAGCTCGGCATTCAGAAGGCACTTGAGGTGCGCCAGCTGCGCGCTTCAGTACTATCGACACAAGATGACAGTCGCTTAGTTTGTCAAGATAAAGATGCTGAGCACAGAAATAAATTGGAGGCCAATTGGAGGGTTGAGCCACAGTGCTGTTTGTCAAGTTTTAATGTTTGACAGTCCCATCAACGCTAATTCAGGTCCAGAAAGGTTGAGAGGGGCTGTGTTTGCCTGAAATTGCAATTCCAATTGAAGAGTTTTCCCTCAGGAGCAGCAAAGTCAACACCAGCTATCGCTTCAGCGCGCGCTTGAGGAGTGGAGATTCTTGATGTTGCGTTGATGCGTATTATTTTGGCATAGTGTGGCAGCGTGCTTGACTAGTCAACAAACAGTTTTGTTGGCGCCACTGAACAGGGTGTGCAAGCTAATCCCTGCAGATGAGATGTTGAAGAGATATGTGATTCGCCGTGGTGACATGGCAGAAGAAACCAGGCGAGCATGCGGCCAAGTTGAAGGCGCATGCTTCGCCACCCAGGAACCAACCATCAAGAAAACTGTTTGGCCTGCAGGAGAAAGATGCTGAGCAGAGAGGGAAGTTGGAGGCCGACTGGAGGGTTGCCCCGTGCTGCCTGAGCCGCGCATTGCAATGTTTTAATTGTGTCTCCGCAGAAACAGGCTGAGTTTCGGGCGCCCCATTGCATGGCTGAGCTGCCCGGGCTGCGCTGACCTGAATTGCCACTGAAGTGTCGCCGCAGGAGCAACAAGCGCAACACCAGAAGGCGCTTCAGCATGCGCTTGAGGAGCGGGAGAGATCGCATCGTTTGGCATCTTGGTTTTCGGCAGAAGCAGCAAGCGTTGAGCGCGTTGGTTTTTCGGGCCGGTTTTTTTCAAGATTCTATTAATATTGCCTTGCTGTTTCCGTTGGCACAGAGTGGGGGGTTCATTCTTGACGATTCAACGGTGCCTCGGAGCCACTGAGCAGCTTCCAGACCAGCATGGTGGTGACATATCTTTGGCGTATTTTGGCGTTTGGCCCTTGCCATTAGTTGACGCGGTAGGAGCAGCGTGCCGAGCACGAAGCCAAGTTGCAGGCTGGCACCGGTAACATATGCCTGTGCGTGTGTGCGTGTGTGTGGGTGGGCCTGTTGCGGAATCAGTCCATGCTACTTTCGCCACCACATACATGAACACAAGTCGGCCATTGCCATGGGACATGAGATTCCGCACGCTGAATCATGTCCGATCTTTCGATGCAGCAGCTGTAAGGGCGAATGGGAAACTAAAAATAAACCAATTCGATTATGTTATGCCAGGAGATGGACAAGCAACAGCAGCAGCAGCAGCGCAATGGCAGTCGAGAGGCTGGGGCTGGCGTTGCGTGACCTGCGCTGTCACAGAACTGAATAGTTTGTTTATCAGTTCTTACCCTTGCAGGGCCACATGATGCTCAGTAGGGTCGCTAGGATGTTGACTCCAAGCAGCGCCTATCAGGAAGACCAGACTTCCGACAATCTCGGCATTCAGAAGGCACTTGAGGTGCGCCAGCTGCGCGCTTGAGTACTATCGACACAAGATGACAGTCGTTTAGTTTGGCAAGATAAATATGCTGAGCACAGAAATAAATTGGAGGCCAATTGGAGGGTAGAGCCACAGTGCTGGTTGTCAAGTTTAATGTTTGACAGTCCCATCAACGCTAATTCAGGTCCAAAGAGGTTGAGAGGGGCTGTGTTTGCCTGAAATTGCAATTTCAATTGAAGAGTTTTCCCTCAGGAGCAGCAAAGTCAACACCAGCTGTCGCTGCAGCGCGCGCTTGAGGAGTGGAGATTCTTCAGATGTTGCGTTGATGCGTATTCTTTTGGCATAGTGTGGCAGCGTGCTTGACTAGTCAACAGTTTCTTGGCGCCACTGAACAGGTTGTGCAAGCTAATCCCTGCAGATCAGATGTTGAAGACATATGTGATTCGCCGTGGTGTCATGGCAGAAGAAACCTGGAGAGCATGCGGCCAAGTTGAAGGCGCATGCTTCGCCACCCGGGAACCAACCATCAAGAAAACTGTTTGGCCTGCAGGAGAAAGATGCTGAGCAGAGAGGGAAGTTGGAGGCCGACTGGAGGGTTGCCCCGTGCTGCCTGATCCGCATATATTGCAATGTTTCAATTGTGTCTCACAGAAACAGTCTGAGTTTCGGGCGCCCCATTGCATAGCTGAGCTGCCCGGGCTGCGCTGACCTGAATTGCCACTGAAGTGTCGCCGCAGGAGCAAGAAGCTCAACACCAGAAGGCGCTTCAGCATGCGCTTGAGGAGCGGGAGAGATCGCATCGTTTGGCATCTTGGTTTTCGGCAGAAGCAGCAAGCGTTGAGCGCGTTGGTTTTTCGGGCCGTTTTTTTCAAGATTCTAGTAATATTGCCTTGCTGTTTCCGTTGGCACAGAGTGGGGGGTTCATTCTTGACGATTCAACGGTGCCTCGGAGCCACTGAGCAACTTCCAGACCAGCATGGTGATGACATATCTTTGGTGTATTTTGGCGTTTGGCCCTTGCCATTAGTTGACGCGGTAGGAGCAGCGTGCCGAGCACGAAGCCAAGTTGCAGGCTGGCACCGCTAACATATGCCTGTGCATGACGTATAGTCAACAGTTTGGTACCCCGACACTTGGTATTGCGACGCAATGTGTGTGTGTGTGTGTGTGGGTGGGCCTATGGTGGGCCTGTTGCGGAATCAATCCATGCTAATATTGCCACATATTGGCCATACATGAACACAAGTCGGCCATTGCCATGGGACATGAGATTCCGCACGCTGAATCATGTCCGATTTTTTGATGCAGTAGCTGCAAGGGCGAATGGGAAACTAAAGACGGAGCAATTCGATTATGTTATGCCAGGAGATGGACAAGCAACAGCAGCAGCACAAGGGAGAGGCTGGGGCTGGCGTTGTATGACCTGCTCTGTCACAGAACTGAATAGTTTGTGTATTAGTGCTTACCCTTGCAGAGCCACATGATGATCAATAGGGTCGCTAGGATGTTGACTCCGAAGCAGCCCCTGTCAGGAAGACCAGACTTCCGACAAGCTCGGCATTCAGAAGGCACTTGAGGTGCGCCAGCTGCGCGCTTCAGTACTATCGACACAAGATGACAGTCGTTTAGTTTGGCAAGATAAATATGCTGAGCACAGAAATATATTGGAGGCCAATTGGAGGGTTGAGCCACAGAGCTGTTTGTCAAGTTTTAATGTTTGACAATCCCATCAACGCTAATTCAGGTCCAGAAAGGCTGAGAGGGGCTGCGTTGGCCTGAAGTTGCAATTGCAATTGAAGAGTTTCCCACAGGAGCAGCAAAGTCAACACCAGCTGTCGCTGCAGCGCGCGCTTGAGGAGTGGAGATTCTTCAGATGTTGCGTTGATGCGTATTCTTTTGGCATAGTGTGGCAGCGTGCTTGACTAGTCAACAGTTTCTTGGCGCCACTGACGTATAGTCAACAGTTTGGTACCCCGACACTTGGTATTGCGACGCAATGTGTGTGTGTGTGTGGGTGGGCCTATGGTGGGCCTGTTGCGGAATCAATCCATGCTAACTTTAGAGCCTCCGGCTCAGTCCGCCGACATTGTCCTCTCCCTTTTCTCCTTCTTCCTCTCTTCCTTGTCTCCCTTGTGTGTTCTGTCGTCCTCTCTCCCTCCCTCTGCTCCCATCCTCCCCATCCCCCCAAGCCTCTCTCTCCCCAATCTCGTATGTATGTATGTATGTATGTATGTATGTATGTATGTATGTATGTATGTATGTATGTATGTATGTATGTATGTATGTATGTATGTATGTATGTATGTATGTATGTATGTATGTATGTATGTATGTATGTATGTATGTATGTATGTATGTATGTATGTATGTATGTATGTATGTATGTATGTATGTATGTATGTATGTATGTATGTATGTATGTTATGTATGTATGTATGTATGTATGTATGTATGTATGTATGTATGTATGTATGTATGTATGTATGTATGTATGTATGTATGTATGTATGTATGTAATGTATGTATGTATGTATGTATGTATGTATGTATGTATGTATGTATGTATGTATGTATGTATGTATGTATGTATGTATGTATGTATGTATGTATGTATGTATGTATGTATGTATGTATGTATGTATGTATGTATGTATGTATGTATGTATGTATGTATGTATGTATGTAATATGTATGTATGTATGTAATGTATGTATGTATGTATGTATGTATGTATGTATGTAATGTATGTATGTATGTATGTATGTATGTATGTATGTATGTATGTATGTATGTATGTATGTATGTATGTATGTATGTATGTATGTATGTATGTATGTATGTATGTATGTATGTATGTATGTATGTATGTATGTATGTATGTATGTATGTATGTATGTATGTATGTATGTATGTATGTATGTATGTATGTATGTATGTATGTATGTATGTATGTATGTAAATGTATGTATGTATGTATGTATGTATGTATGTATGTATGTATGTATGTATGTATGTATGCATGCATGTATGTATGTAGGTACGTGTGTATGTATGTATGTATGTATGTATGTATGTATGTATGTATGTATGTATGTATGTATGTATGTATGTATGTATGTATGTATGTATGTATGTATGTATTATGTAATGTATGTATGCAATGTATGTATGTATGTATGTATGTATGTATGTATGTATGTATGTATGTATGTATGTATGTATGTATGTATGTATGTATGTATGTATGTATGTATGTATGTAATGTATGTTATGTATGTATGTATGTATGTATGTATGTATGTATGTATGTATGTATGTATGTAATGATGTAATGTATGTATGTATGTATGTATGTATGTATGTATGTATGTATGTATGTATGTATGTATGTATGTATGTATGTATGTATGTATGTATGTATGTATGTATGTATGTATGTATGTTAGTTATGTATGTATGTATGTGTGTATGTATGTATGTATGTATGTATGTATGTATGTATGTATGTATGTATGTATGTATGTATGTATGTATGTATGTATGTATGTATGTATGTATGTATTTATGTAAGTATGTATGTATGTATGTATGTATGTATGTATGTATGTATGTATGTATGTATGTATGTATGAATGTATGTAATGTATGTATGTATGTATGTATGTATGTATGTATGTATGTATGTATGTATGTATGTATGTATGTATGTATGTATGTATGTATGTAATGTATGTAATTATGTATGTATGTATGTATGTATGTATGTATGTATGTATGTATGTATGTATGTATGTATGTATGTATGTATGTATGTATGTATGTATGTATGTATGTATGTATGTATGTATGTAATTTAAGCAAGTAAGTAAGTCAGTATGTATGTATGTATGTATGCATGTATGTATGTACGTATGTATGTATGTATGTATGTATGTATGTATGTAATGTATGTATGTATGTATGTATGTATGTATGTATGTATGTATGTATGTATGTATGTATGTATGTATGTATGTATGTATGTATGTATGTATGTATGTATTAATGTATGTATGTATGTATGTATGTATGTATGTATGTATGTATGTATGTATGTATGTATGTATGTATGTATGTATGTATGTATGTATGTAAGTATGTAAGTATGTAAGTATGTATGTATGTATGTATGTATGTATGTATGTATGTATGTATGTATGTATGTATGTATGTATGTATGTAATGTATGAATGTATGTATGTATGTATGTATGTATGTATGTATGTATGTATGTATGTATGTATGTATGTATGTATGTATGTAATGTATTATGTATGTACGTTATGTATGTATGTATGTATGTATGTATGTATGTATGTATGTATGTATGTATGTATGTATGTATGTATGTATGTATGTATGTATGTATGTATGTATGTATGTATGTATGTAATGTATTTATGTATTTATGTATGTATGTATGTATGTATGTATGTATGTATGTATGTATGTATGTATGTATGTATGTATGTATGTATGTATGTATGTATGTATGTATGTATGTATGTATGTATGTATGTATGTATGTATGTATGTATGTATGTAATGTAATGTAATGTAATGTAATGTAATGTAATGTTATGTAATAAACTTTGACCCATGGAAGTGGTATACTAGCAAAAGGTAACTGGTATACAGCATATGGGGGAAAATCAGACCATTTTGGCACAACAATTCGGCATAATCATGCCATGTACGTGTTTACCATAAACCAAGAATTGGCCATAAAACCATGCGCATTTCAGTGCCCAGTGTTTCTCAGATGCTTCACATGTGTTTCTAGCAAACACATGAGAAGCATGTGAGGAGCACAGAGCCATTATCCGCAGACTCATGCACATCCAGTATCATTGCTACACACATGAGGGTTGGTAAGCTTCCACACATGTGCGTTGATTAAGTGCTTGATATGGCTACAATACAGTGAGCATTGGGTGGGTAGGCACTATGGTTGTGACACACATGTGGTGCGTTGTTT